ATATATATATATATATATATATATATATATATATATATATATATTTATATATATTTATATATATAATGACAATATACTTGTCGCTACCGAGTCTCTTGACACGTGTTCAAAATACGATATAATGTGAACCAAGATTCCGGAGAATCAGACGTATCATCGATAAGTAATAGGGCTCGGTTAAGACGCATGAAGGAGACTTACTCGTTGCGTGCACGATCGTATCGACTTATGAGCTTCTCATAGAATATACGCGAATCCAAGCGATGAGCGTATGTATTTTCCAAAATTCTACACGTATGTATATAGGTCGATGTACAGGACGTCCCGACGTTCATATTTCGCGCCATATTTCGGCATCTACAAACTGTTCGGTGAACTTTCGGGAATAGATTTTTCCTTTTTTGGCGAGAATCGAAGATCTTCCACTAGAAAAGCATCGTATATAATTCGTAATAAATAATTCGCCAAAATTCTTCGACTTACGACGAAGCTGACGCTCCAATTTCTCTCAGTTTAATCGTCGTGAGACGTAACGCTACGTAAGAATAGATCTGGGACATCCTGTGCATGTAACGCGGTTCGACAGAAAAATAATTATAATAGTATAGTAACAGTACAATAGAGTAGCGATAGACCGCATCTAACTACTAATTGGTGTTCGTACGTTGTTCCCTTTTTACATTTTGGTATCGTTTATAGAATGTTTACCACTGTTTTTCTTATCGTTCTTTCTCTAAAATTATCCTTTGTTCTCTTTCACAATTTTTAAACTAATAGATTATCAATGGACTTGCTTACAACACCCACCTCAAGTGGAGATCATAAACGTTCGTATATAGTTTCCGCGCATGCTCCAACGTGAGACAGTTAATCTTCATTTGGCATCATCATTAATATTCCTTTATGATTTCAGCCAGTTGGCACAGAATATTTAAATATCTCGCAATCGCAGACTGGCCCGTTGTGTGTGAACAGACACACTCGTTTTTTTCAACTGTAAGAAAGTAACTGCCCGCTGAAATTCTTTTTTACTATCTTTATTTTCTTAGCCTCACAGAAGTTTGTGACGTTCTTTTAAAAATTTACGGTACGTGTATATATTATATATATGTATGTATACACACATTCAAAAAAATCGACTGTCTCATTTTGAATCATGGCGACATTAAATGTCGCGCGAGAGAAATAAATTCGTTCACCTCAGGAGCATTCTAAAAGCTCCACGGCCTGAGTGTGGTCCACCTTGCCGAATACAAGGAAGCAAGTGGAGCCAGGTAAGTTCACAAGTGAGAAAAATAAGGGCCTGTTGTCGATTAAAAATCGCTAAGTGCGTCATTAGGTGTATGTATATGTATATATAATTCTAGCATATACCGTAATCATATATATGCGATAGTTGGATGTGTATATACGCTTCTAAAGAGAGACTTTGTAGTAATCGACGAGAAAAAAAAGACAAAAGAACAACGTTTGGCAAACACGTAATTGCGCCGACATGTGCACACCCACACATCGAACGAGAATAATTAGATTATCACGGGCGAGAAACTTACGTAACGTCGCCGAGAGAAAATGCTGCAAAGATATCGCAGGACTGACGACCGACGATAAGTCGATCGTTGTTCTACTTTCGTCGTGCTTCAAGACGATTCGGACGATCCACGCTGTTGGTCAAAGAATGCTCTCCATATGCTCGTCCGTCACCAATTGAAATTGTTCTTGACCTACCAAGTGATATATATGTGATTACAAGTTATATATATAATTAAGTTATATATATAATTAAGCGACGTTATAACACAGTTACGTAGAGCATTTTGGTCCGACCAGGCTGGCACAATCAGGAAAAGAAGTGATTACTACTTACTGTATAGATACGCTGCTAGATCGCAGTCCTCCGCGATCAACGCAAGATCTCGCGGCGTGCGTCCAAGCCGATCTTTGACCATCAATGCTGCGCCACCCGCCACAAGCATACAACAAATGGAACGACGTCTGTTCTGAGCTGCTTTATGTAAAGCGGTTTGTCCTCTGCATTATAGTAAAACAATTACTTCTTATCAGTTCACAGTACTCCAAAGTGTCTTTATTAGCGATCTATTACACGGGAAAAAAGGTTTGGTTGAATTAACCAAATAGCTGATCGAATATGAACGATCCAGAAATTCCGATTAAAGTAACCCGTTTAAGTCAATCAAAAATCTTGTTAACTTAAACAGTATTTGAGTTATTTCAATTGAAATTTCTGGATCGTTCATATTCGATCAGATATTTGGTTAATTCAACCAAACCTTTTTTTTCGTAGTAGTCTCCAATAGGAGGTGATTTCAGTTTGAAACACCTGTCAATATTTGAGAGAAATACTCACTTGTCATTGTCGACCATATTCAAAATCGTTGGTGGGGCGCAGGCGATGAGATACCTGACGATTTCTTTGTGGCCGTGCTTGGACGCGAGATGAAGCGCCGTTTGACCATTAGCGTCGATCGACAAGAGTGAGTAGCCCTGCTCGTGAAGCTGCTTCAACGCAAGAAGATCGCCGATCTTCGCTGCTGTCAGTATTCCGTCGCAGGTTTTCTCAAGTAACCCGGTGCTGAACCGATGGACTCCCGAGCTCAGCCCGAAGAGTCTGTCGCGGGGACTGAAAACAGAAATCAAAGTCTAAATTGTACAGGATGTTTTAGAACCATTCATATAAATCCAATGGAATTTACAAGAAGTAATCTGTACTAATTTACATTACCAAACGAATGATTCTATAAATTGAAAGAGAACAAATTTAGAAAGTTGACACTTAAAATTTGATCAACTAGCACTACGAGGGTGACGCCGAAGATTGGCAATTTCACCTGATAAAAGTGATGGGTCGATCAGCCTGATGCTCCGAAGAGTCCTGTTTCCGGGGCTCACCGTTTACAGGAAAGTCCGACTCCATGTCCTCATCCTTATTAGGCACTCCGCTCATCAGCAAGAAGGAGTTCCTTCGACTCGCCGTAGTCGATGGCTTGACCGCATTTGCGATCGAACTATCTACTTCGACAGGTAGGCCGCTCTCGAGTTGCTTGGAGAGTCTATCTTTCTCCGTGATGTCATGCTGCTCCAGTTCTTGTGAGCCTTTGGTATCACCCGAGATCGGTTGTTTCTCCTCCTCCGTCACGGCTGACATCTCCTTCGAACCTTCGTCGCTGTATCACACGTTCCATCTATTAATCTAACGATTGCACTTGCTTACCATGGAATTTTCGCCTGGACGTGTTATTCGTTTCAGGATTGTTATCATTCATACCATGGAAGATTCGTGACGCTTATCGATTTGATCGTGAATTTATTTGTCGCAAGCACCGTGAAAGTGGCATGAGCAATCTTCGCACAAGTTCAACAAACGTACCATGGACAAGTTTCCGCTGCTTCCTTCTCATGACTCACAATGATTTGACCCTCAGTTTGTTGGGCAGCGTCTTCTTCAAGAACGTAGACGGCATCTGCGGCGACGTCCGTCACGTAATGCAATTGCTCCTGGGCGCGATCAATCCTGAAGAATCTTTCCGCGGTACACGCTAAAAAATGATCGACCAAGTATATTGTTATTCTATTTCAATTTGAATATAATGACGAATATAATAGCGACACCCACAATCGACGAAACAGCAAGAATCCATGTTGTGATCTTTCGCCAAGAGTTTCCTTAGCGTTTCCAAATCGGTCGTAGCATCCAAATCAAGCGGTTCCGCCAGAAACTGCTTTGCAATATCTTTCAACTTGCTTTTATCGTGATGATACGTCTTGTAATCCGACATCTTTATCTTCAGCACAGGCAACTTCAGCCTCTCCAATCTCGCTATGTCCTGACGTGGCTTCCCCGTGTTTCTCCTCTTGACCAACATCGTGGCCTTGTTCAGCAGACTTAAAGTTATGGTAGCCGGTAGCAGACGACAAGCTTCGCCGTCCACCTGTAATGTAAGAGAAAATCTAATTACATGCAGAACATGAATTGTTTATCTCTACTGTTCGTCATTTGCTTAATTTGGCATGTCATTGTTAAAATAATATTAATGCAGTTTCATATATTGCGACCTGAGAATTATGCTTGCCTGCATCGGTATAGTTCTAGTTGTCACCAACTTGGCCTTACTGCATTGCGCTATAGAGGTGCCATGTCCACCTGCTTGTAAAAGAGGCAATTGGTACGTGGTCAAACCAACCACCTCGATCAGACCATCGTCCATGGCGGGTTCCCTGGTGCCACTACCTGCACCCCATGGACGCGTTCCACCGCCGTAAGAGGCAATATTCAGAAACACAATGGCGTGGACTCGATGTTCCTTTAATTTCGGCGTCATGTCCTGGCCGTCGCACTCCAGCGTGACAAACTCCGAAAGGTCTTTCCATTTCCTTCGTAGTAAGTCCTTGCCACCCATCTGGCCGTAGAACATCTTGTTTCTCAATCTGGAGTTAAATTTCTCCGGATGGGCCTCTGCGATCACAGTGAGTTTAATCAGTCAGCTTCGTGTTTTTGAAAACATAAGACATTTTATGACACGTGGAAAAAGATCTTGACAATTTTTCGGGAGAGTTATTTCGACCAATAATCATTATACAAATTTGGATTTTATTTTATGACTAATGTATAATTTTTATTAATATCGTATTAAATTTAATTAGTAACAATAATTAATTGAACAGACTTTTGACACTTCAAGTGGTCTTTTCGAGAAAACAAAGAATATTTGGGAGAAAAATAAAATATTTTTTGTTGAATATTAACATTTGTATTTTTTTCAAAAGTGTAGGAAAGAATTTGAATACGACACAATCTTTTCTACTCGAACTACGGCAGTAATATTATTGGCTCGCTGTTTGTTGGCTTCAATGCAGTTACACGGTAGAAATTAAGGTCAAGCCTTACCTCGGGCTTCATGAAATTCCAAAGCGATGTGAGCGTCCACCCCTAGGGAGAAGTAATTGTTAACAACATTAAGCGGTAAGTTCTCCTTGCCCTTGTTGCCATCGTCGTCGTTCTGAGCATTGTTGTTTCTCTCGACTTCCAATTGCCATCTATCCAATAAGATAGTCTCACTGTCACCTATACTTGTCAGTATCTTCCCGATTGGCTCGTCCGTATAACCGCCACCCCATCCCAGCGCTCTCGCCAGATCATTCCCGGTGCCTAGAGGAAGGACGCCGACCGCTGGCGGTGGATATGCACCGATTTGATCCAGGATTGATAAGACCCAACCGACAGTACCGTCGCCGCCGCAAGCCAAGACGCGCAAATTAGGAACTTTCTTGAAAAGATCTAATCTGTAAGTGCAACGCATTTTTAGTTATCTCTCTTCTTCTTTCATAATTTCTACAAGGTGTTAAAAATAGTCAATTAAATTTGGATTCCATCATCAAGATTGACCTTCAACTAGATAAATTAATTAATCGATTAATTTAATTAGTTTGAAATTAATTGAATGCTTTAATAGAAAATCGCTATTTCAATAGTCGGGAGGGTGGGTGGCTTATCGGTGCGAAGGTCACCCCCATCCTCGGCAGGCATCGTGTTAATACGGTCTTTAATGTTGTTCGTATGCACCCCATATTGAGGTAAGTGAGAAAACGATTCACTCACCCCATTTTCGGACCACCCTGCGTTAAATCGAAGACCTGTCTCGGGTTGAGCAGCCACTGAAACTTTTGTAGCAACTTCGCGCCTTGATTGCCGCCGGATTTCGGATTGATGAAGACCAAAACCGGCTTCACTGTGGCGGTGGGTATAGGCTTGATGACCCACAGCATCCCCTGACTTTTCTCCTTCTCTTTCTCCTCTTCCTTATCGCTGTCTTTTCTTTTCCGTCGCTCGGAGGACCCATCGACGGATTTCTTCTTCCTCGGGGATTTCTTCAGGCTGCTCTTAAAAGTACCTTTCCGAGGAAGTTTTACAATCCACGAGGGTGGTACTATGATCGACGCATGGCTACCTAATTCGCAATCTTCGCCAATCTTCTCGACGTTGAAGCACGCCTCCTTGTTGTGATAGGCGGTCTTGCACCAGCTGCAGTTCACCGCCACAATCTCCTTGGAGCCGAAGCTGAGCTTCGATTGAAAGGACTTGCCGCAATTGGCGCATTTACCCTTTTGGGATCGCCGATGAACCCAATGGTGGTGAGTGGTCGTTTGCTCGCGATACTGACGCACGCTCACATCATGGAAACTCGGTTTGCACGGAAATTCTAAACTCGTGATGCAGCAGGCATGGGTTACAATGTGGCAAACCGGACACTTCAACCGGGGTCCATGTTTCTGAAGGAGAAACGGCCAATTATCAGCGAGATATTTTGGATACTTATCTCTTAATTACTTACTAAATTATTTGTTTCTTAATAATTTTTACTTATTATTTCCTTTCTCTTATTATTTCTCTTCTACTGTTATTTTTAAGTATTTCGCTCGGATAACTAATATATCGAAGGTAACGTTATAACATTCTGTCTGTTGTTTTGCAGATTTTCCATTTCGGCCACTTACGGAACAATCGTTGACATAACAGAAATCGCCGGACGCGGCGGTTGGCACCCAAAGGTGTTCTTCATTACACGCATGTGAACCCCAATCTGGTGTCGACCGCGGCTGGCGTTGATCACTGCTCGTGTCACCTTCCTCTCTCCCTCTAGAATCATCAAAGGCTCATAGAACCTCATGTCGACGAATTAACTTTCTCGTATCAGCGCATACTCTACAGTTTCTAATTGAGGAGTTATCGCGCGAAGGTGCATACATAGGCAATCTAATTTTCTATTTTGCACGCGCCATACTTTGATGAAGTATAACGCAATATTCTGCTATTATGAGGGAGAGCTATGATTTAATTACCACGTAAAATATTCCGACGACTTTAATAACGTTATATTCTCGTCGTAGAAGTTGGGTATCATGTAGAATAAAGTAACACTACATATACCCATATGAACATAATTAAAGTGTCTCATGCCACTCTTACGAAGACGAACGAGAAGAGGAAATATTAATCGTTCTGTACATTTAAGGCACATAAAAGCATCGTAAAAGATGTATGTTGTTTTGAATGATTAAAGTCTGGCTTTCCGCCGCGAAAAGTATACATTCGGATCTCTGTCATAAAAATTTGACGAACCTCGTCACTTTTAGAAACGAGCCTTTCCGAGATAAAATATGCTAGCACGTGTAGTAAAAACACGAAGACCGATAGCGGCAACTAAAATACACGGTTTTAAAAAGAACTCGGCATTACTGTTCCAGTTGATATAAATGTTCCCAGTGATAATTTATGTAACATAACATTTTAAACGGAGGATTATAAATAGAGGAAAGACGGTTTCTCGTTTGAGTTCGAAATTATAATGCATTGAATAAATGTAAAAGGAGTATGATAAAGTCGATGAATATAATAGAAAAATGAAAAAAGTTTTTATTTTCCTCAGTATAATCTCTATAAATACATACTTTATAAAATAAAACATAACTGCTTATTAATAACTGATTAGAGAGTAAGTGTATGCATGATTAGCAAAGATGAAAGACTATAGGTTTATTAGGGTAAACAAAGACGTGTCATATAGATCAATTAAAAATTAATATAAATAGACAATAAACAAAGAATCAGTAGAGAAGAAGGTAGAAATATATATATATATAATA